CTCTGTGCTTGTCAGGGAACTTTGCAAAACGACGCACAGTCACACTTAGAGCTGCTGCGCTCCTCCTTTCCTACCCGTAGCGCCCCCCCCGCCCCCCCAACCCCCTACTGCCGCCCCCTGGCCCAATCGCTCCAAGACTAGGCGCCCAGCCCTCGGGAGCAGCAAGAAGCGGCTAGTAGACCGGCTCCCCAGATCCCTTCCAATCCGGTTCCAGCGCTCCTCGCGTTCGTTGCATTTTGCCAAGCCTTCGAAGCTTCCCAAGTCATATTGGCTCCATTTCTTATTCCATTTCTCTGTCAGTGACTGTTTCTGTCTTTTCTTTCTCTGTATCTTTCTGTGTCTCTGTCTCCCCCCGCCCCCACTTCTCTCCCTCTGAAAAAACATGAAGGGCAGAAAAGGGAGCCCCCTGCCTACAGTCCCCTACTCTCCCGCCCCTCTTAATTTCTAAGGGCCAAACAAACGAGTTGGCAACTTTGCCCGGGGCTCCTTCCCTCCTTTCAGTTTCTTTCCCAAATGCTGCGGAGACGCTTTGGAAAAAAAAATCCCGGATGATCCGTACTCTCGAAGGTGAAGATCATTTCCGATTCGAACAAATAAACTCCAAAAACGGAGGCCAAAGTGGGTGGACTTTTCAAAGCTCAAATTAGTGTTTTCGCCCTCAACTCGGGGAGACAAATTTTTTTTTAAGTCGCACCTTCTCATAAATATTAATGAAGGGTTTAATCCCCTTCAAGGAACTACTAACCCTCCCTTCCAATTTTCCTTCAGAATAACCAGAGAAAAAAAGTTTTAGGAGAAAGTCCAACAACGGGAAAAGGAAAACCCCAATTCATCGCCATGATCATCGTCCTCATCACCATGGTTAACAATCACTCTATCCTAGAAATACGAAAATTCAAATGACTCTAGACACGATCACGATGGTGACGATGATGATTCTGAATGGAAAGGGGCTAGGAAGGGCCAGTAGTCGCATATCAAAGTAAGTACTTTTTTTTCTTCAAGAGACACTTTCCTTTGGAGTTCTTATGAAATACGGTAACAGAATATCATGGAGGGCACACTGTTTCCTTAACTGCTTCTCAAAGGATCCGGGAGATCTTCTTAGGACCTTTAATAAGGCTTTGGTCGGTTCTTTTGTTGATCCCTCAAAATCAACTCCTTCTAATTGAAGTTGGAACTGAAAGCGAGCTAATGTTCAAAGAAAGTGACCGCCAGACCAACAAAATTACATTTTTTGGGGGACGATGAGGGGACATCTAATCAAAGGAGCAGGGCGGAGAGGGTGGGATAGGGGGGAGAGGAGAAAAGGAGGTTTTACAAGATCCTTCTCTAGTTCACAAAAGTCAGCGACACGGGCACTTCTTTACGGAACAAAGAAGCCGCAATCCATTCACACTCACAAAAAAGAGGGAGAGAGAGGAGAAGAAGAAGAAGTGAGAGTAGAAGGGGCGGGAGGAGACTGAAAAAGAGACAAAGAGAGGAAAGAAGAGAGAAGGAGGAGAGGAGAGAAGAGAAAAAAGAGAGGAAGAGGGAGGGAGAGAAAGAGTGTGTGACAGAGAACAAAAAAAAGAGAGAGAGAAAAGGAAAAACAAGCTCCTTTATAGCCACAATGAAACACAACACACCTTGTGGTAATCCCCTACCCCGTGATGCCTCGGTTACTGTCTAAATTTAGCCACCTCAGTCTTTGAAAGAAATTTGGAGACAAAGAGCTGTTGACTGGCATTAAAGATAGAATCCAAATAAAGGTTCCAGTCTACTAGTGAAATAAGCCAGGTCAGAGGCAATTGAGCTCTCCCGTGATGGGACATGCGTCCCTTTGTATAGCTGTGTTTGTGTGTGTGTTTGTGTGTGTGTGTGTGTGTGTGTGTGTTGTATCTGTAAACACCTAAGCTTTGACATTACTCGAACATCACCTGCATACTTGTATGCATGTATTACCTGTCGCAAAACGAATCTACTTCCTCTTCATTCCCGCCCTCCACCCTCAGTCCTTTCCAGATCTAAATTCTGCATTTTCTTTCCTTTCCTCCTCAAGGACTAGCTTTTCTAATAATTAGCCCCGAAGATTTCATCATGTGAGCTCAGGACAGGGTGGTGAGCAGCAGAAATGGGTGCTGCGCCGCTCCAAAGTCTATTGGAATGTCTTCCCCTCCCCCGACCCAGCTGCAACAGCTCGGAGCTTGGGGCTCCTTCTTCTGTTCTCAGCTCCAGATGATGTGTTCAGCTCTCTGAAAGTCTAGAGGTATCAAGTAGCACTGACTTTTTTTTTTTTTGTAATGAGAGTATTTGTCTAATCCCAAATTGCAGGAGAATTTTCTAATGTTCAACCTATAAAACCCAGTGATTAAGGAAAGGAAGGGAAAATCAGAGAGAGAGACACAGAGAGAGAGACACAGAGAGAGAGACACAGAGAGAGATGAAGAGAAGAGAGATATGAAGAGGAGGGAGAAAGGGGGGGAGAGAGAAAGAGAGAGAGAGAGAGAGAGAGAGAGAGAGAGAGAGAGAGAGAGAGAGAGAGAGAGAGAAAAGGAGAAGAAGAAGAAGAAGAAGAAGAAGAAGAAGAAGAAGAGGAAGAGAAGAAGAAGAGAAGAAGAAGAAGAAGAAGAAGAAGAAGAAGAAGAAGAAGAAGAAGAAGAAGAAGAAGAAAAGAAGAAGAAGAAGAAGAAGAAGAAGAAGAAGAAGAAGAAGAAGAGAAAAAAAGTTTGGTGCACACAACGCAGAGAATTCGAAGCGGCCCACACATTCTAAAAAGCCAAGGTGGGATAAGAGTTGAAAGTGTGTGTGGGAAAGCTGTTTGAGTAGTTCCCGGAGGGCAGACCACAGAGGGGGAGCTGAGTTCCAAGGAGGCGGAGATCATGGAGCCCACGGGTCCCCCGACCCAAGTGCAGGGGCCCTGGAAGTAGAAGAAACTCGGGGAAGGTGAAATCGTGGAAGACAGAAAGGGCGCGCAGAGGTAGTGGTGGAGTGAGAGAATGGGGGTGGTGGGGTGCGGAGACGGGCTAACTTCGGGCGGGACACTACACCCAGGTAAATTCGGCAGCCACACTATCAGCATCTTTGGGAGAAGGGGGGGGGTGCTGTGTAGGAGTGAGAAGAGCCAAGTTGGGTTGGTTCTTTGAGCCCACTCGGGAGGTAGAAATTTCCACACTACCAGGCGTCACCGACATTGTCCCTTTCCCATCACTTAGACGACCCCGAAGCCCAAGCTCAGAGCCAAAGATCTCCCCTCCCCCACTAAATGACTAACCGCTGTAGGTTGCAGGGGAGGGGGTGAAGGGGGCCCGATCTACTCGGGGTGGGGGTGGGGATGCTGTGAGATCAGGCGCTTTATTTTCTTCTTTCCTCCCTCTTAGTTCCCCCGCTTCCCCCAGCCCTTTATTTCCTCCCCCCCCTCCTGTGGTGCGGATCCCAAGGGACCTTATGGGACAGGTCAGAGGCGGAGTTTTCCCTAGAGGCCTTTTCCCGGTTTCCACCCCTCCAATACCACCTGGTCCAGGGAACTGGGGGAAACTGATGGTGTCAAGAAAAGGCTGAGGGGTTAACAGTGTCGCTGGGCCGACGCACCCGGTTGTATCGGGCTAGCGTCTTTCCGCTCAAAACCTGCATCTTAGCACTTACGCCCAGTCTCACGTTCGAATGTCAGAGCTCCAGTCTGAGAGGCTGAAGGAGCCTTTTTGTCCCAATCTCTCTTCAACAGCCCTTTCTCTCTAACCAACTTTGGTTCTCCCCACTCCTACTCCCTCATTCCCCACCAATAACGAACTCTGCTCAGGCCCTGCAGGACTTTAGCTCAAAGTCGTAGCCGCCTGCACAGGGGGAGGAAAGAGGGTGGGAGGTGGGGTTAGAGTGAGGGTTAAAATGATAAAGAACAAACCAAGTGGCTTCCTTCTGGAGAGTCTAGGGACGCACTTTCGCCCACCATGGCCCAAATCCCATTCCGAAATTTAAGCTGACGACCTTCCATTCCTTTTTATCAGGGGAAAGGTTTTCCAACGTCCCAGGGCCCAGGGACAGGGCGATTTTTACTTAGGCTTGAGTAAAATCTTTGTAAAATATTTTTTTCTAGTTCGTAAAAGTTTTTGTTTTTTAATATGTTGTGGGGTTTTTTCCTCTCGATCTGGGTGGGGAAAAAAGTAATTTCTATCAGGATCCAGTAGGCCTTAGCTATTCTTCCTCGATTCTGCTGGCCTCTGCAGCGGGGTTTAGCTTCGTTCAGGAGCTCCTGAGCTCGGGAGCTTTCTTCTCACAACACAGAACATAAATATCTGATGTTGCTTCATTCCAAAAATCTTTGAGAAACTTTTCCTTATATGCCTTGCTAGGAGCTAATTCAGCTATTGTAGTTTCCCCCCACCCCAAACCTCTCGTGGATGGATGGATGAATGAAGTACAGTTATACAGTTTTTTTTTAAAAAACATAATTTATATTTTCTTGTGAAGCATTTGACAACCAGGCCAAAAGATAAACTCAAGCATACTATTATTTTCAAGTCTAAGAACTTGTTGAACAAGCTTCCTTTGTCTGGGACACCTCCGTAGAGGGATGGTTGGGTGACAAAGCACTCTTAACAGAGAATCACCAATTCTGTAATTTCTTGCAAAAGGTTTTCTTTCTTCATTCTACCACTGGTCATCCCCAACCTCTAGAGATTTTTAAGAAGTTAACAACACTTATACTCAACTGTCCTAAACTCAATGAAAACTGTTAGAATGGGTAGAAAAAAAATTAACCTAAAGGTGCAGTAAATAATATTCAGAACCCTTAATCTAACAAGAGGAATCATACTTTCTCTGGATAAGACATTAAAATATAATCTACAGGACTGACTTTCAAAATTTATATTTTGTTTTCAAAGGAGCACAGTGTAATCAGGCTGGAACCATGTAGTTTTAGTTAAAAGGTGCTCATTTTTAAAAAAATTAAGTCTTGTGGTTATACAAACTACTAATCAAACCAAAGCAGTAAAGTTTGAATTGTAAGAAAATGTCAGTCATTAAGGTAAGAAAGATTCTTTTATTGAAAATTTATATATGATTCAGTATTGTAATAAATAAACATAACCATTTCACAAAAATGATAGAGCTATACTAGAGAAGAAAAACATTAACTGGGGGAATTGCACACAGTGGCAAGGCAGACTTCCTATAGATACAGAATAAATATTAACAGCATTTTTGAGCCAATGTTGAGACCCAATGAAACGGGACCAGGCTATATGTAATAAATAATTATTCAGAAACATGGTGCATCATTAAATGAAAAAACTTTCCGTAAACTTATGTATCATTTAGCCCCATCCTTATAGCACATCTTCAAATTACGGGGTTCTTTTCTCAAGCTATGTTAAAAGACCTTTCTCTGAACAAATCAGAGGGAATCAATTCTATTATGCTTACAGTAAAGTGGAAAACAACTGGAGGGGGAAAACATGGGTAAATATAGCATAGCTTAATAATTTCATTATATATGATCTAACTATAAAATTTAGGTAGCATATTAAGTATTATGTATGGCATGACTAGATGAAATCATTCATATTTTTCCTATCCCCATTTTACCCCTCCCCCCTCAATGCTAACAACAACAACAACAACAACAAACAGATTTGTTTTCAATTTTTCTTCCCAACAAAAGATTAAAGAGGCAGATTCTTCTTCCTTGAACAGCTTCTTAAACATCTCCAATACCAATCATCACCCACAAGGTTTCTGTGCAAATCTATTTCACATAATTTCAAAAGAATGACAAGCTTACAAGTAAATCCTGATACAAGGCTATTTTGAAGTACTGGGATTTTCTCCAAGGAAGGAGGGGAAAGGGGGAGTGGGATGAAGTAGAGTTGGGCCAAACAAAATGCTAAAGTTTTAAATCAAGAATGAGTCTCCATATTCTCGTCTGGGCTCTACTGACATGACAGTCGGGAAGGGTTCTCAGTGTCTCAGAGCCCAGTTACTGAAGAACACATTTTTCTTCTTTCTTGGCCATCTTGCCTTTGTTTTGCTCCAAGGTTCGCTCCAAATGTTCATCTTCTTCCTCTGCCCTGGAATTACAACAAATAGGAAATAAAATTATTATTCTTCGTGATGCCCAAGTACTGAGACTGAGAAATGCCTTTCCCACACCTCTCTTTCCCTCCTTCATCCCGGGTCCCCCAAACCCAGCAGAGGATGGCCTTGGAAGAATAATGGGAGGGTGGGCAGATGCCGCAAGTAAAGGCCTGGGGCCTTCTGGAGGCTCTGCTTTGGTCACTTTAGAGGCTGAACTTTCCTACAAACTTTCTGGGTCATTTTAAAAGCAGATGTCAAAAAAGCACATCCTCTCTACTGGCCAAACTCACTGCTTCTCTTGAGCGTCCAGGTCCCTGACCAGCGCATCTCGTTTGTTCACCAGGATGACGAGCTCATCCAGTAAGAGTTGTTCTCGCCTTTTCTGGGCTTCAGTCTTTTGCCAGTCTGAGGGCAGGGAAAAGAAGCTGGTTACACTCGACGCCTTCTGCAGCAGCCCAAGCAAGCTTCCTGCTTTGGCCCTCCATCAGCTAAGGCTCTCCCCGCCCTTTCCCCCTTTTCTACCTCTCTCTTGTCTGCCTTCCTGAGCTTTGCTTCAAGACGACGAGTGTTTCTGGGACAATTACTGACATTTTAGTAAGATTAGGAAACACGTAGATAGAAGTGATTAGGTTTCCCCCCTAAAAATGGATTTTCTTAATACTGTCTACAGTTGGACGTGGCTGCTCTGGACAGAGGGCGTGGCCGAGAGGACAAGCCTGGGGACGCACCTGAGTCGAGATGAAGTGCGGGGAAGTTGAGCTTTCTACACTCTCGAGAGGCAGCCCCTATGCACCAACGTGGCGGTGTGGGGCTTGGGAAGCCGGGCAGGGTAGGAGAATCGCAAGAAAATCTTTCAGAAGCTGCGAGATCTGCCTCAGAACTTTGCCTCCCTCTTCAATCAACTCCCATCCTAAATAGCCTATTCTTCACTAATTTCCTCCTCACTCTATTTTAGCAGTTGGACGTAGCTCACACTGGGCGCCATATGCTTCACAATAACTTTAAAAGTAGTGTATGAGCTAATTAGCATTTTCTTTGAAGTAAAAAAAATAAATTTGCCTTGCATTTTATGCTCTCAAACGCATAGTAGCCAGCATTCTTTTTTAAGAGTTTTGTTCAGCGACCTTAATTTAAAGCATTTTTTTTTTTTTGGCAGAGGGGAAACTACATATTTGCTCCTGAAATTCTTTGCAAAACATTGGGAAATCCGGTGGGTAGCTCCCCCTCCCAACCCTCAACCCCCAGCAGACTTGCCTGTGCCAGTTTTAAGAGAAACACCTATGATATTTCCCAACCTCTCTTGTCTTTAGTCTTTCTTTAAGAAGAGCAGTTTCATTTCATAAAACAGGACCACATTTAACATTTAAAGCCCTTGTGAAACCAAAGCCAACTGCTCTCTGGACAGACTGTAAGGGCTTGTAGCTGTCAATCAACCACCAGTCTACCCCGCCTCCCTCATTAGGAAGGTAAACAATGAAAAGAAGAAGTAGATGATGAAGGAGATAGCAGAACAAATGAGGACCAAGAGGAAAACAGGACACCAGCTTTAAAAAAAAATCTGTAGCCACTGACTCAGGCAGCGTCCCCTCCGCCAAAGCACTTTCCAAAAACAGAGGAAAGAGGGTGTGCAATCCTTTTGGGTTTTTCTCTCCTCTCTCTCCATTGCCCTGGGCAATCACGTTAAAACTCACATGGCTGGTGCTTATTCAGATAAACCTAACAATGCACACCAATGGTTACCATGTGAATCTTCACAAACCACACAAGAATGTGCTGGTTCAAATCCCCCTGACCCCCCTCCAAAGCAAAATTTATTCAAGACAGCAAACTGCTCAGCAGCCTTATGAAAGCAAGTGGTGCTAGAGGGAATTCTGTCTTGTATTTACAAATTAAAAATTAGATGCATCATCATGCAATAAAGGTTAGAATAGCAGCAAAAGCCAGAAATGTTTAATGACCTTTATCATTATTTCTTTTATTCTCTAAGCTCAGAAGTACATAAATAAAAATAGAATGTATATTACATATACAATGCACAGTGAACAAACATATAAAATAACTTTATCATTATTCTCCTGCAACTGGAAAGTGTTTTTTAAAAGAAAAATAAATATTACTGCTGAAAGTTTTTTTAGTTATATCACCTAGGTTAACTTACTGAGATTTATTTTTTAATTAAAAAAAAAGAAACATAGTAAACCTGCAAGAATGTTATGTCATTTACCACTTTGCTCTTTTAATTCAAATGGTTAGATACTAAAAAGAATATTTCATAAAATTACTGTTCCAGTTATAAATCAAGCTCTCCTGACTATAAAGAAGCTGAAATCTGCACAGCTGGTTTTTTAAACATGAATATGCTTAAAAAACCCCCCCAATAGTTTTATCTGTAATTAATCAACATGTACTAGAAACCAAAACTAGACAAATAAGAAAGATTACCAGTTTTGATAAGTGCTTATCTTTTTCCATTTTACACTTGTAGTGATGACAACTACTGTAAACTTTCATTTACAATTTGGTCACCCTGGCCTAGATCTTTTTGTGAGAATTATACTAGGTGCACCTGTTGGAAAGGAAGTCTATTTTCTTTTACAGACTTCAAAATATAACCAAATGAAAAATTTCAGGCAATTTCTAGAAGGGCAACAAAATACATACTATAATTTGTATTTACAGAGCATTTGCTAAGGAAGGTACTACTTAGTATCAGTGACAATGAAATGATACATAATATCTATAATTAATTATTTCTTTGATTCAGTAAACATAAGTACCTACAACATGCAGGGCATTCTGCTAAGTAATGGAGGAAACAAAGATGAACTTCACTGATTTGTCACCTACCATTAGTTTTAATGCTCCAGCTTACAATAAGGAGTGTAAGGATTCTTTTTTAGAAATAAAATTTTGAAACTTAAAGATACAGTTTAGAAAAAACCCTTCTAAATTAAAAAACAACAACCCCCAACCATCTATTATTTAATAATCTCTCTAGTTTTCAATTTTTCATTGTTCAGCAATGATATTTTCCACAAACCTTTAAAACATTGTACTTTCTTTGAAATTTTAAATACAAGTAAAGTTGATTACTTTTAGGATGAGTATAACTGTTTCAGTATAACTAATGGGGTTTTCCATTATCATCAAGTACATATCTGCATATTAAAAATGATCTCCAAACATACTTCAATTGATTTGTGTAGGAAATAAATGTTAAAACTAGTGCAGGTAGCAAAAATTCACATTTAAGCATTCTCACAGATGGCAAGAACTCATATCTTTATTTAGTTAGTGTGAAAAATAAAAACTTTTCATCTTGTTTTTTATTGGGATAAATTCAATTTTATTTCTGGAACGAAAACTAATCTACTTCTTTAAGCTAAAGTCAATAAGGAAAAAGCCCATTTGAAACAGCTTCATGTAGAAGTTCTGAAATATTTTGAAAAGTACATGCATGTAAATTTATAAATGACCTATTACTCATTTAAAGAAAGGATTACTTCCCAATAATACCAGTCATAGGTACCTACACTGATCTCGACTTTGAGAAACTACAATATAGAGTGTGATTAATTTAAAGATTCTAGTGCATCACTTTAAAAAAGCTATATATTCTCTCTCAACAAAATAGGATTAAATATTGATGCTACATTTGAGCCAAAGTTGTGAAATAAGGAAATCCTGTTTATATCTGTCTACATTAAGCTGCTAAACATACACATATACTAAATAGCAAAAATCTGGCTTTTTGCTTGAATTTTGGGAATTTATGTATTTTCAATAATTCACATACAAGTTCTACATTGTCTGTACCTTTGTTGAAGTGAACACTTACCTTTAAAAAAGGCAAGGGTATTTCACATAAATACTTTAATATAAAGGGCCTAAAGTTGTAGTAAACCTTCAACCTTGCCACTATAAATAAGCCTCACACTTTGATGAAAATTAACACTAGTTTTGTAAAGAGCACATTGGGGGATTGCAGTCAAGTCTTATCTTTAGTTCCAGTCAACTAGCAATCCTGAAAGAGTTTGCATCATCATCAGAGCAGGCCATTTGATAGGATTCTACTGCTGAACCTAATCAATCTATGGAATACTGTGGCTGTGCTGTGTAACAAAGCTAAAATAGATTTACAAATGGGGTTTTAGGGGATAAGCTCCTCCACAGGATTACATATTGATTTTAAATATAAAAAGCTTATCATATAAACCATAACTACAAAAATAGTGAACCTGTGCATAAATCCTTTTAGAAGAGCACCCACTTCAAACTATATGCCAAGAATAAATCAAGCTGTACAAAACCCTAAAGAAGATCCATCTCTTGTGCAGGAAATGGACGCTCTACTTTTTAAAAGCCCACCCTAATGTGTGCAGAAATGAATTTATCTTTCCCAAGGGGGCAGTAAATAATATGGAACAAAAAATATAGGGAAAGTATCTAAAGCACATTCATCAGCTTGAGGTGTATATGGATATGAAATTGACACCTCAGAATGAAATAATAAAAGTGCTTATGACCTTTTAGTCGAATGATTATAATTTGCACTTTATTTTTGCTTCCAATCCAAAAAAATTTACATTTCTTTTAATGAACCAGGCTTATTATGCTCCTTACACACATTTTTTAGGATAGGCAGTTTCAGTAGCATATTCACTTGTAAAGACTACAGTTTATTGCTAAGCCATGCCATCACTGTTAAATGGGAGGGAGGGGAAAGGAAGCTAGGAACATACTTACAAACAAAAACAAAAACAGTGCTGCCTATTCATGCGTTTTCTCTGTGAAGTACTTTAACACTCCAAAAGACTATTCAGCTGTATATACACCCATTTGAACAGTTGGCTAAGAGGACAGGGTCTTCACACCACTGAACATTACAATGGTCAACACCTCTACATGAGGACAGTACTGCCCACACACTGCTCACATTAGCAGGGCATAAGAACATTCAATAAACTGGCTTTATCTGCAATCAGCAGGCTGATACTTTTTCTCTTCTTGTCAACAACTAAAGATGAAAACTCATTGATAGGTTTTTTTTTAGAAGCACAGTCACATATGTGGAGCAGTAACATACATTAAAAAAAAAACCACCCAGGAACTGGTATCATGTAAATAAAACAAGTTTTAAAAAGTAAAGAAAGCTCATTGTTTTATTATTCTAATGGGGGTAGGGGGAAGAGTTTTCTATTTTTTATTCCAGTTGTATAAAAGTTATTTAGCTTGCAAATCTGGTGGGTTGGGATGAGATTGTTGTTTGTGCTCAGTACAATGCTAAGATAACTTTTCATATCCTATAGGAATAGTAGAATGCCTTTAGAACATATGGTTCCTATTGATCCTATATGGTCAACTGCTATGTGAGACCATGCACAATTATGCTTAGAGGAAGATACATGCAAAATACATCAGAATCCATGCAAAGAGGCTGTAGTAGAATTATCCTTCACACACACACACACACACACACACACACCCCTAAACAAATGCGTTGACTATTTACTGTACTGAATTTTCAATTGACTTTTAACTTTCTAATCTCTTCTAAAGGTTATGTGAAGTCCGTTGGCAATTATGTGACTTACCACAAAAATTCTCAATAAAAAAGAACAAATAAAATTTATCATCTTTGTGTTCTTTTATTTCTGTAATAAACTTCAAAAAACCATTTAAAATTAGGATTTTTTGTGTCCATTTTTACACTTCTGCTATTATCCACACTATGTGAAGCATTTTGATTTCTATCTTAAGGATTTTATCATTATAAAAAATCACATAAATGAATAAAATTTGATTTCCTAAATAAGGGCTTAATTTCTTTCTAATTATATTTATCAAGTGAGCTAATTGGTGTGAAAGTTCTTTGAAAAGAATAAAAGTATTATGTAAATGTAGGTATACCCTAGGCATTTTATTTATTGTCATCATTCAATGAAAATGTGGCAATCAATGTTCTGATATTCAAAAAGTACAAGACTTCTCACGGCTTTCTCTTAGAAACTTAGGTTTCTAGTGAAGTCTCTAAACTAATTAGAATTGATTTATTATGGATCAGGTACCTTATCAGGTGAAGAAAGAAATTACCATAGACAGTCAAAGGGTTAAAAGGTCAATACCGAATAGGAAAATCAATTTGCATTGATTAGACAAAAGGTCCATTTTACAGAGTCCAAAGGATTAACTTTTAAGCAGACATCTTTGAACTGTAAGACAACATTTCCAACTGAGAGGAGTAAGAACAGTATTTATAAAACACTTACTTAAAAAAATAACTAAATATGGTAAGCAATAGGTTAAACGCTGGCTGATCCTTACTTATATTATAAATCATCCATAGGATTATAACATAATTCATTTAAAAGAGTTATGAAAAAAATTTGATTGTTTTACTTATCTCCTATGTCAATCTCTCTGCATATTCATTTAGGTATAGTATTTAGACTCTCAAGACTTATAGAAGGCAGTTTATTTCAATCTTCCTGACACTAATGAAATATTACATTGAAATTTTGAGTATCCTAATATGAAATATCAACCTGATGCATCTTTTAGCACTCTTCCCAGTGTAAATAAAATGCAAATCAGTACAATGTTAATTTTGCTTTAGATTTCTATTTTATAGAATTTAAAATTTCTTGGATGTTATGATTTTGAACTTCATAACAACACAATAGATAGCATAAATGAATAATCTATCTGAATTAGGGTCCTTAGGTTTGTGTCTTTCAGTCATTTATATAGTAACTGCTGTATATTCATAACGAATGACCTTATAGACCCACCCAGTACAGCTAAATGTTCATAGATGCTTGAATTTTGTTTTAGAACTAAACCCCATGATAGTTTAGCCTTTGTATTAAGAGGTTCATTTTTTCTCAGTAACATGTTTCTTACCTTCAATTGCAAGCATCGCCCTCAACTCCCGGTTCAACAGCTCGTAGCGTCTTTCTAGGTCATGTTCTTTTTCCCTAGGCAAGTTTTGAAAGTTCATCAATATGCTAATGACTAAATCATTAAACACTTAAAAGGACCTTTAAGTTACATTGATTTTAGGGCTCATAGCTGACTTTTCTCTTTAAGCTACTCCAAACAAATGATACAGAAACCTAAAACCTTCATCACTTGGTGCTGTTCTTGTCATTCTTCCACAATAAAAGGCATATTTCAATTTGCAGATAAGTAAGCTGATTCTTATAGACTTTATGTACATAGACTGTTATAGAGAAAAAAACTCCTATTTTGTGCTGTTGAAGTTGCTAAAATATTTTTTCCCTAATTCTTAATAAACTTTTTTTAACCTAAGAATATCTACTAAGATGCACAGAAGTCGTATTTGTGTCTATTTTAACGTCATAAAGACAAAATTTTGGGTTAGAAAACGTTGTCTCTTCACTTCTAAAAGTCAAGTTGAGGTATGGGAATGCATTTATGAAAATGAGCTATTTCCCTAAAATAAGAAATGTGAGCAAGCTCATCTCTACACTAGGTGGCATCCTATAAGAACACTACTAATAAGCAGAGAGAATGAGGAGAGAGAGAGGGCCTAGAGTAGGTGAAATGCCAGATACTAAGAATGCTTACTGTTTATATTTTCTCCACTCTTCCTCTGACCCTGTTAACTGCAAATGCTGCCTCTTTAGGAGAACAGTTTACTTTTAAATCATTAGCATTTTCTTCTGAGATGTATACGGTCATATCATCAGTAGTACAGGTTATGTATAATTTCACTTCCTGATAAAATTTTAATATTAAAAACACTTTAAGAAAATCTTTTAAATTAACTTAAAACTCATCTTTTCCTCTTATAAATCAAACTTCCTTAGATAAATAAACTACTCTTTGAAACACAAACTAGTTTTCTACTCTTTTGTCCCTCGTATTTAGACCATACTATTTTCAGTTTTTATCCATATCTTTTCCTATGGACAACACTATTTTAATATTTATGTTTAGAAGCCAGTCTGTCATGTAACCAAACATATGATATGTTAAATATACTGATAAAAATATACCTGAGGAAATAAAAAAAATTAAATCTAATTAAAACAAAATGTAAGTGATAACAAAAATGTGATAGTAAGGATTTTGTCAAACTTTGTAGGAAAATCAAGCTCTGTCTTGAGTACTTACAGGAGAGAGAGTTGGTTCATTCTTCGTATTAATGCATTTTTCTTATTAACTAACATAAACCATTCTTGCATCATAGCTTCTTCTTCTTCTGTGTTCCTTCCTACAAACACAGGAGGATTTATCTTTTAATGTCTCCATAAGCCATAGCATTGTTCAGTGTCAATTTTTAAATATGTAATACTTAATTTTAGCTGATCTAATACTATATTTTAGACTGTTAGCAATAGAAGATTAGAGACCTAGACCTGAAAAATTCATGTTTAAATAATAATAATAAGCCTATCTTCCAAAGCTGATAAATTTCAGCATGTATATTTTCACTCCCCTTTAACATACCTACAGATCATATTAACACTAAGTACAGTAAACAAAGTGTTCCACCTTTTAAATCCTCCCCAGAGGCTTAATTGTTATTATGTTTCAATGAGGAACTTGTGGTGCTGACAGACATATGGTCACGATAAAAAAAAAAAAGCCCAACACAACAACCAAATCCCAGCTAAAAATCATTATGAGAAGTACAAGACTAGAAGGAAGTTCATGGACATCCTGAGATTATGGTAAGCCAGCTATCTGTAATAATTTACTTGGTGTTATTTTTCTTTTCAAAAGTAAAGCCATAATATACATTTTTTACCCTGTATCAATAACAGGGTAAATCCAATCAGGGAAAATAGAGTTTAAATTAAGAAGAAATATTAGTGATCTATGAGTAAAGATTTTCTAATGAAGATATCAGTAGATCAGAAAACATCTGAATAAATGATCTAAGCAAAAAAGACAAACCCAAATGTGGAAATACAAAATGAGTATTTCTTAGATTCTTCCCCTAAGGATGCAATGAGTTATTAAACATGTTACATTTTTACAAAACAGATACATTTGATGGTGAAGGGCCACCCCCTCCCTCCCCAACCCTTTGCATCAGGACACATGCAGCCTCTTATTTTCTCTTTAGAAAAAGGCAGCACTAATATTTACAAGAAAGGTGGACTCTTCCAGGACCTTTTTCCTGCCACTTGTGTCAAAAGGCAAGTAGTCAAATTCACAATTCTGTGGGAAGGAATTTTCTAAGATTCATAGGGCATCAGTTCATGCCTTGAAGCATAAAATTTCACCAGGAAAAGATTTTTAGCAAACAAATTCTCAAAGCAAGACAAAGAATTACGTTGCTCTGCTAACATTTAATTCTGCAGTCTAACTTCAGCATAGCATTTACAGGGTTAACAGAAATGTCTGATTAAAAAGAGAAAATCTCAATGAATTTAGTATTCTATAAGGTTCTGCTTTTTTATTTTAAACATGAAAATATTTTAACACATAAATGGAATCTAAAGTGTTTTTGCTTTCTACTATCCAATCATAATTCCACCTGAAAAATAAGTATAACATATATTTTAGACTGATATAAAATGGTTATCTGCTACTAGGAGAATAAAGAAAACAGGTAAATTCATTAAATACTGTTAAAATTTAAAAGTATGAAGGATACATAGGATAAAGTCATTTAGAGACTGAACAAAGTCTTTATTGTTTTACAGTATTTTTAATCTGTCTTTTAGGGTTGCTGGTTTTGCATTCACTTTGGACCATGTGATGCCTTGACACTGGTCATGTGATATAGGCTGCGATAGGCACAAATCCCTGGGCAGCAACAAAAGAAGAAAGAGTAAAAAGAAAAAGCTGAGAAAAAGCTTGCAATTTGGAAAAAGGCCAATTGTACCCTGGTGAAGGCCTTTTTGATCATCAAAATGACACATGTGTGCAATATTAATAGCTATAGATTTTGTGATATATTTTCTCGCTACAGACGTAATTCTTGTATCTGTAACTGAAACAGTGACTAAAAACACAGATAAATGAAAACTTTGTGGAAACTTTGGCTTAACCCATAATTGATGCTTTCAAGCAATTGTATACAAAGCAGCTAACTCACTCTTAAATTAGCATCATTTTCTTCAATGGGATATGGCTTCCTTGAGAAAAATAATACTGATGTGGTACTGTCATTTTCAATTAAATTCATAATCTGATTTTTAGATAAGAATAAAGTTGTCCTCTAACTCAAAGAAATTAAACAAAATGACTGTTAGTCTTTTCAAGTTTCAAAATGAAAATAATTGTCTAAAAAATTAAAAATGCTAACGTGAGATTGTTTACTGGACCCCAAAATGCCACAGACTATTAAAATCAACACTCCCAATTTGAAGATAAATTAATACAGCATGCTCCAAATCCTTATCTGAACCAGTACAAGCTTACAGAAACCTATAAACAGTCTAATGATTGTAAACAATTTTTTTTTACCCTGTGAGTACATGATTCCACTATTGTTTTAGGGCTTTTAAAAATTAAAAAAAGCTTTTAAAGTCAGTAAGTTGGACCATTACAAATTAATCCTGACTTTAATAACTGGTTAAAGACCCCTTCAGCTTTATAAGTAACAAAAAATATTAAAGCCTGTGATCACAGTGAGCTTTTCTCATTTCTCCTCTAACCATTTGTTATTTAATCCAATACTAGTAATCCAATTTGTCCATCAGACTTTTAAAGGGCAGAATGCAACTTCCCCAGCTTAGACACTTTTCAAAGTACAATATATTTTTCAAATGAATGCTGGATGTTTCATTTTTTCCCCAACTGTTCCTAGCTCTAATGCAGGAGGAAAAAAAGAACAAGATGAACATTGTTCGTACTGATTAAGTAAGAGCTCATTAAAGAGCTGTCAGTGCCGTACTTTGAATATGCATGAAGCATATAATCAGATCTAGTACCGTCACTAGAGGAGAATACGGTAAGTACAAAGGATTGATTTAATTACTTAGAGTGGGGCTGTGGTGGTAAAGCAGTCTTGTTAGTGCAAAAAGAAAAGGAGGTTGGATTCTGGCACTGTTAGAAAAAAAAGGCAGTTTTAGCTTCTGCCACAATACCTAATCTCAAGATAAAGCACTTTACATTGTAGCTTAAAATGAAGACTGTCATTATTCTATAAAATAGCCATAATTCATCTTATCTTGTTTAACTTTACCTGGTTAACTACTTATTTGGCAAAATTATCTTTAATTTATAATTAAAATCACATCTTTATGTTGACACATTTCCAATTCTGATACTAGATATTTCAAAAATTGTTTAAAATGATTCATAAAAAATTCAAGCTATATGCTTTTAAAACTGCAAAAGCAAAGTGGTAAAAACATTATAGGATCTGGCTCCAAAAAAAAAAAAAGTGAAGAAACAATTGGTTGGTCACATATTTTATAACTTGTTATTTATGTTTATCATCATCATTATCACAACTGTACAACCCTTAGAACATCTTTTATAACAAAATTTAAAAGCATTATCAAGCTGGTCTCTGGTAATACTTTTTTAACTTATGGATGGTTTTCTGCATATATATTTCTGGGTTGATGTTTACCTCTGGAAATCTAGAATCTTCCCTAATATGGCACTCTCAGTATCAGATTTCCCCCCCTCCCATTTGGGAGCAGGGACCACCATTATAAAACAACTATTAAATTACTGGAATGATGACAAATGTCAGGAAAACAATCATCAAAACATTTTCTTCCAAATTATTCCTTATATAATATTCATTAGAAAACATTTTTATATTAGTGAACTAATGTATATCTAAAGTAATATGAAAACCATTCACTTTAGTCTTGAAAATTACAGACACTTCTTAGGTTTAATATTTATGAATTTTAATATTGTATTTAGCATAATGCCTTCAAAATAAGTTAAAAGGTAGATAAAATAAGTTAATAAAAAATTAAACAACAACAACAAAAACCAACCACGAAGAGTCTATCTCATGCTGTCTCAACCCCAAAAACTCATGCCATCTCTCCTCCGGTACTGCTACCATGCTAGAGTACTCTCATCACCTCAGGCCTGAACTATTGCAGGAGGGTGCTGGTGGGTCTGCTTGCCTCCAGTCTTTCCCCATTCTAACACCTGCTTTCTGTCTAGTATGCTGTGATGACTTACAAGTGAACAAAAAGCTAGAAAATGTTTTTTACTTTCATAGAATCCCCAAACAGCAACAAAAATAGGTCTCATAATTTGAATACTGTGGTTTAAGAAGCAGTCATTTAAAAATTTTATTGATGGGGTAGCTAGGTGGCACAGTAGATAGAGCAACAGCCCTGAAGTCAGGAGGACCTGAGTTCAAATTCCGCCTCAGACCAAACACTTGACACTTACTAGCTGCGTGACCCTGGGCAAGTCACTTAACCCCAACTGCCTTAAAAAAATTTTTTTTATTGATAAGTCCTGTTCTATTCTGTATGACAAAGTATTATGAATAAATATCAGAAAAAAACCAACAACAACAAAGAATGGAACCACAGGAATGCTTAGCAACCAGAAAACTGTCATTTAAAATTCTCTTCAAAGTGTCTTAAACATTTTAGAGGAAAATCTGTTCAGTCGTTTTCCATTGTGTCCAACTCTTTGGGACTCCATTTGGGGTTTTCTTGGCAAAAACATTGGAATGGTTTGCCATCTCATTCTCTAGCTCATTTTTAAAGCTGAGCAAACTGAGGCAAACAGGTTTAAATGACTTTCCTCATCTATAAGTTAGAGTCACAAGTAATATAGAATTTTAAAGTTTATATAGCTTTTTATGTGTGTTATCTCATTTGATCTTCACAACAACCCTGCAAAGTAAGTAAGATAAGGATGATTATCTTTATTTGAAGAGGAAGATGAAGAAGTGATCAGATAATTGGCCTGAGGCCACATGGCTATTAGGTGACTGAGCTGGGGCTTGAACCCAAGTGAGTTCAATAGCTTCCATTCAACAACTACTCTGTAAAGAACTTTGCAAACCTTAAAGCTCTATGTGTTGTTTGTTACTACTACTACTACTACTACTACTACTACTACTACTACTACTACTACTACTAACCACTGAACTACCTAGCTACCTAGAAGGTTTGATACTGATACTAGCTATCATTCAAGTATGTGAAGTATGCAAATTAAATAAGCTTTTGTGGCCATGCTGGGAACCTATTAGCATTTATTTAAACAACATATTTAGAAACATTTTTGGTGTATAATTTATTCAAAAATTGGGAATTTCCTGTG